TTGTCATTTTCTAAATGAATTTTAGTGTTAATAGTTACTGTTTTAATGTTTTATTTTAGTAAACCACTTACAGTTGCCTCTAGGCAAGATGGCTGGTATTTAAGTTTAATAAATAAAATAAAATATTAGAATATTTTTGCTCAGGATTCAGTGAGTAATTCAGTAGGTCAACAAATAAAAGTTTGCACATACTAACATTGTTCTCAAACTGTTTACTTTTGTTACTGTCAGTATTGAATAAAATACCATGTATTTATTTGTGGATGCTAAAAATAACTTTTATATTGCCAAAGGGAATAAATAACACTAATTATATAGTCAAAATGTATTTTGGAAAATGTTGCCAGTACAGATCAGCAACCATGTGATTCTTACGTCAGATTTTCTTTTCTTGTTTAGAATTATTTTCAGTGGTCTGATTGTGAAAATATTGAAAGCAATTTAATTAGGTTTCTTATCTGCCAGGTATTCCTTGAACCCTGTTCTCAGGTTTTATCCTGTCAACAAGTAGAAGTAGAACCAATTTCAGCAGATGATTGGGAAATACTGGTAATTAAAGCATTTTTATATAATATTTTTTTTGCACCCCATTAACTAAACATGCAGTTTTATTTGTTAAAACCATTTTTGTGTCTTCAATTTGTTGCAATCTTCTCAGTCAAAATCAGATTTTTTTTTAACATTCTGTAAAATGATTTTAGGAGCTGCATGCATTGTCCCTGGAAAGGCATCTTCTTAATCAAATTCGAATAGTATTTCCAAAAGCTGTCTTCCCAGTGTGGGTTGAGCAACATACTTGTATCTATATCCGGATTGGTAAGTGGTTATGCAAGATTTGATCAGATTTGGAGAGATAATTATAAGTTTTATATGTATATTAACATTTCTGTTTTATATTTTAGTTACTCTAAAACCCCCAGCTCTTTATGGAAGACTTGAAGCCTGCACAGAACTTCTTGTATCTCCTAAATTACGACAGTATGAAGGTAGTTCTGCCACGTTGCTTTCCCCGAAAGATGACATTATGCAGGAAGATGTCCCTGAAACCGAATTAAAACCAAGGGAAAAAAATGAGGAACCACATTCCAAAGAAACACATTTAAATAGCCAATTTCAGCAGCATCAACCAAACACAAAGGGATCGCAGAGTACAAATATTTTCCCAAAC